TATATTTGATGGATTAAAACTAGTTTCTTTATTAGTTTGTCATATGAGATTGTGAAAACTATTTCCAGGAAGACATTTTAAATTATTCATATTCACGGGCCAGTGACGTTGAAACTGTTCTGTTCACTGTGGATTTTTCTCAAAATTTTCCGCTTTTTAGTGGCAGCAAATCCACTGGTATTGACAACGCTACAAAATAATAACAATAATGAACTCCCCGCCAACACATAATGGACTCAAGCACAAAGTGAGCGTTCACCCATTATGGGTTGGCGGTGTGGGGAACGTTTAATGTTCTGATACAGGTTTTCGCCCATTCCCAGTGACACTGAAGAAACGCACGGCTCTCGATAAACACAAACTCTGTTTTATTTCAACGGAACGGTTTACAAACACTTGTTACATCAGCGACATCTTGAAAATTCTAGAAAAACCTACCAACGAGGCTCGAACAGTATCATGGGTAATGGAAGAGTATGGAGAATTTATCTTACAAATCAGAGTGAAATCATCGCGAATGACAATAACTGTAGAATAGCTGGTGCATAAATTTTGTAATAAACGATTTCCCGATATCAGAGTGTATACACAAATAAATCACGAATCTTGTACAATGAGATATATCCTGAATGTTTGTTGTTCGATAATAATTCAGTCACGATGTTCATAACAACTCTCATAATGCGCTCTGAATACCCGAAAGTTCTAACTAAGAATTATTTCTCATATTTGAACTTCGCTAATGTTCATAACAATAATTGAGACTCTAATATAATAACTAGACTTTTGGAACAAATGTCAACATAAAAATCGATAAATAAGAAGTTTGTTCTCGGCTCCTGGTGAACGTGACCCCAGGTCATCAGTGTTACTAAAATAGCCACTTAAATTAGCAGCACTACATAGCAGGTTTTTCACACCCTCCCCTTAACTTAAGTTACCTTAACTTTAATATCATGGTTTTCTAATCGTCTTCAATCTTGTTTGCAATGACACCAACTAAGCGATTCACTGCAGCAGTCTTTGCCTTTCGACTTCGACGACTCACATTCTGGGTCTTGAGGGTCCCATCTGGTTCTTCTGATTTAATATCATCACCCACTGGAGTTTCATCATTTGTATTGCTGACTTCTAGATCACAAACCAATTGGAGTGGCCTTTCAACGATGTAGCCACTGCCTGTCTTGATTTTGTATCCTCTGATCACTCCGTCCTTACCAACAATGGTATCTACAATGCGTCCTATCTTCCAATTTGCTCGGTTCTTTGTTGAGTCCTTCAGTAGAATAACAGAGTTCTTTCCTGGCAATTTATGCTTTTTGGTTTCTAACCCCTTGGTATTACGCTCCTGTAATGCATGTAAATATTCATTTAACCAACGTTTACGTACATGTTCTCTACAGGTCTTAATGTATTTTAGACGTTTGCCTATGTCAGCATCTAAGTCATGAACATTGTCCTCTAGGTAACGTGCTGGCTGTCCGCGTAACAACATATTTGGAGTGATAGCTACTTGTTCTAAGTCTTCCTCCATGTAGCACAATGGTCTGTTGTTCATGAAAACTTCTACATCCAGCAGTACTTCCTCGAGTTCTTCGAACATCAGCAGCGCTGGTCCTATAGTTTTGGATAGGGCTCTTTTTGTGATGCCAATGAGTCTCTCAAAGAAACCACCCCACCATGGAGAGCGTGACAGGTTAAATCTCCACTCAATGCCCTTTGTTGTGAGGTAGTTGAATATAACTTCATCATTCTGAAGCTTAGTTAGCCACATCTTGGTCGCGACAAATGTCTTGGCATTGTCACTCACCATACAACTTGGTGATCCTCTCCATGCAACAAACTCCTTCAGTCCACGTTTGAATTCTATCATTGACATATCTCTGCACAGCTTTAAGTGTACAGCTCTGGTAGTTGAGAGCGATGTAAGACTTATTCATTTCACTCTTGCCTAATTTGTAGTGAAGTGGTCCTGCAAAGTCCACACCTGTCACATCAAAGGGCTCAGTAAATTCAGTTCGGAAGGCACGGTACTTTTTGCAATGGTTAAAATTGTGTAGTATTGATTTGACTAGCGATCTCAGTTTTAGAATCCAGTATTTCTCTCTCACCTTACTCATTGTTGTGGCTACTCCCCCGTGTAATGTTAGAATATGGCAATGCTCAATTATCCGTCTCGCTAAGGCTGACTTTCGTGGAATGTAGATTGGATTGTAACCTTGGATTCTACTGCTGCATCTCTGTATCCCGTCATGACCTACTGATATTGCAATGTCGACTGTCATTCTGTTTGTTTGTTGTGTCATTTTAATCCATACTGTCTCCGCTGCTGACATCTCAGATTTAGTGAGAGGCCGAATCCGTCTCATCCCTCTACAGCTGTCTGCAAAACGCTTTATGTGTGCCGTTATGCGCAAAAGCTTCCAGAAGGGAAATCGGCTCAGGAGGTCTTGTACCCATTTATTCAAGTCGTTCTCATCTTCTGTCAGGAGCATAGCTTTATTGTACTTCGTTGACCTCTTTTCTGTTTTCGTGCCTGCTGATTCCGAAATCTCTGGTTGAACTGGTCTGTCTATCTCACTTGAAAGCCACTTTGGCCCATTGAACCAAAGTGTACCTAGACGGTCTGGCGTTGTGCCTCTGGTCCCCAAGTCACTTGGGTTTTCTGTTGTCGGTACATATCTCCACTGAGCATCTGTAAGCTCTCTGATCTTTCTTACTCGATTGCGAACGAATGTTGACCATTCACCGTGGTTTTGAAGCCAATACAAAACTGTTGTGCTGTCTACCCAACTATTCCAGGCTGTGATGGGAAATGCAGCTAATGCCTTTGAAACATTATTCTGCAATATAGCTAAAGTATGAGCAGTTGCCAATTCCAATCTTGGGATGCTTCTGTCTTTTGGTTCGATTCTGGACTTAGCAACTAGCAACTGCTGACTGACTGGTTTTGAGTCCTGACATGCCACAACATAGACTGCAGCACAGAGAGCTACTTTGCTGGCATCTGCAAATCCATGAATCTCAAAACTTGTGGGTGTGTCGGTAAAGACACAGCGTGGTATGGTTATGGTTGGTGCTAGTTGCAAGCTTTTTATCCACATCCACCATTTTTTGTGAATTCCCTCTGGCACCCTTTCATCCCAATGTAACTGAAGAAGACAAACTTCACTGAAGATCAATTTTGCAGTGATAGTTACTGGCGAACTCCACCCAAGTATGTCATAAATGCTGTTAATATCAGATATCATTTTCCGTTTAGTAGTTGGTTCACTGCCTTTTAAGCCTGGCTCAAAGTCAAGAATCAGTGTGTCTTCCATCTTGTTCCATGGGATACCGAGAATCTTTGTGTCACTGGTTGATGTGTTATCAGTCCCTTCATGTTTTGTGTTGTTTTTGGAGCTAAGATGGGTGATGTTGCTGTGCCATTTGTGAAGTGAAAACCCACCTTCTGATAGTATTTTGGTAGATTCTTCTTTGAATACTGCAACATCACGTTCTGTCTCTCCTCCTCCTTGAATATCGTCAACATATGTATCATCCAATAGGACTGTTATTGGATAGTTCTCCCTATAGTTCTCAATGTGTTTTTGCAGTGTTACTCCTAGGATATATGGACTTCAAGTTGCTCCAAAGATCACCTGTGTAAAACGGTACTCCATCAGTTGACGATCTTGTAGATTGTTGTACCACAAAATTCTCATTGCATCTCTGTCTTGTTCGTGTACTCGAATTTGAAGAAAATCCTTCTGGATGTCTCCTGTGATGCAATATTTTCGCATGCGGTTCCTTATCATAATGTCAAACAGTAGTGGCTGTAGTGAGGGGCCTGTCTCTAAGCAGTCATTGAGTGAGGGGCTTTTTGTGTTGGCTTTTTCTGAGCAGTCATACACTATCCTCATCTTTGTTGTTTCTGCTTTCTCTCTGATAACAGCCTGATGTGGCACATAATGAATGACCTCAACTGTTTAATGAAATGGTGCAGGCTCAATAATTCTCTGATTTATTTGTTCTCTCATAATGTCATTGTACTCCTCTAATTTCCCCATTCTCTCTAGTTTCTTTGATGTGCTGTATAGTCGAGCTGTGCATTAGCCTTTGTTTGTAGGAAGAGGAATGTGATCTTGCTTCCATGGCAGTTTGGTTTCGTAGTATTCCTGTTCTGTCATACTCAACTGTTGTCTAAATTCTTCATGAATCATTGAAGTTTCTTTGCTATCCACATCCCTAATTCCCAAAACATCCAGTGAGCACAGCTTCTCAAATTCTTCATATCCGGTTTTCATGAAGAACTGCTTCTCTGTTTGACTTTCTGTTGATGACTGCTTTCCTGAAATTGTCCAACCCAACATGGTGAACTCAGCACCTGGATCCTTGTCTGGATTTATGCCCAACACCAGCGGTTCTGTTGTTCGAATCCTCTGGTAGTCGGCTGCTCCCAAGATGATGTGAATAGCAAGTAGATTCTCAGTCGTTTCTTCCTCACTGAACTGCAGTCTGCGAAACCGAACATGTCGTTTCTTCAGTGATTTGATGTTTGGGTTTGGTAAGTGAGTTTGGTAACACCTTTTTCTGCATTTACACAGGTGACATCAAATGAAAACCCACCTCTGCTAGTGATTCTATTGTAATATTGTACAGTTCGACAGTTTTCCTGACAGTGCCATACATCTGTTCTATACAGCGTTGTTCTCTCTTTATAGGTTACAAGTGCAATTGTGTGATCAAGTCAGAACACACATATGAACTACCAGCACCTGTGTCAAACATGATTCGAACTGTCTCTGTTCCAACTTTGCTCAGGACTGTAGCATGAATCGCACCTGTATGCTGTGTAGTGATACTCAGTCCCTTTTCCACTTTTGCACTCTCTGAAACGTTAAGTGTAGATTTTGCCCTGTCACAAATTGATGTGTGGTGCTTTCCTTTGCAATTCCTGCATCCCCTTGATCTGCAGTCACTCGCAAGATGTCCAACTCCTGTGCAGTTGAAACACATTCGATTTCTACGGAGTATGGCTCTCCTGGTGGCAATACACACACTTAATTTTACGATTCGGTGTGTTATCTCCATTACTCCTAAGCAGCAATTTTTCATCTTTTCTCTTCTTATCATCTCCCCATTTTGTAGTATTATTCTCCTCAGTAACTCTCAGTGGATTTCATTCCACATATTTCCGCAGACTCTCAACAAGCTCTTCTAGACCCCATTCTTCCCAGTTGTAATCCTTTTGTACAAGCACTTCACGTACAGGACCTAGTTTGTCCATTAATGTATATACTGAACGTTGTGCTGTAGTCAGTTTATTCATTGTTTTGAGTGTACGCACAATTCTTGATAGCCTGTTATAAAAGTCATGTACTTCATTCAATTTGTGGATGTTAGTAACAGTTGGAATTTCCTCAAGGTCTTTTATCAGTGATTTGTGTACTTTAATATCTTTGCTGTATGTTTGTAGAAGTATTTTCTTAGCTTCCTGATATCCTGCAGCAGTGTGAGGCAGTCCCAGGATGTCCTCTCTTGGTTTGTCTTTCACCAATTCAATTAGATAATTAAATTTACTGACTTCAGCAATATTGGACCCATCCACCTTCACAGTAAACTGATTCCAAAAGCGTAACCAGTCTTTGTAATCACCAGAGAAGGGGGTAATAGTGTACTTTTGTAGTTTCACTGCTTGTGTAGAGGGCGCTGTTAAAGACTCCCCACTGCTCACCTGTTCAGCATGTCTAGCTTGTATTTGTTTTTCATAATCAAGTTTTCTCAAATACCACTCCTCCTCTCGTTTTTGTTGACGAATAATTATCTCTTCAATTTCTTGTTGTTGTCGTAGTCGGTGTTTGGATTGCTCTTCACTCACCCTTTGCTGGATATGTAGTTCCTTTTCTAGTTTCCCTTGTGTCTCTCGCTCTGTTGCATCATCAACCAATTTTCTGATATGCTGACGAGCCTCCCTGATTGGTTGCATGGACGCTTTCTGCGTTGTTGTCCACTGCTTCACATACTCTAATTCTGATTCTTTGTCTAACAGATATTCAGTTGTTTGATCTCTCGAATGCTCCAGCCGTTTCAGTAACTCGCCTACTTGTTCATACGCCATTGTTATATCAGCAGTACATTCACTCTGTGATAATTCAGTAATTTCCTCAAGCTTGAGTTTGGCTATTGTTAGTTGCCTTGCAAATTTCTCTTCCGTAAATGCCATGTTTGGTGTATTTCTGTGTGGCGTATTATGAACAGTTCACGTATTCTTTAACTTCGCATCAAATGTTTCAGTTCTTTTTATATAAGCTGGAAATAATACTCACTGTTGTATTACACGGTTCTGTATAACACAAACGTTTATTGTGCAGTAAGTCCCGTTCGTGGTCGCCACCTTTCGGTGTGGGGAACGTTTAATGTTCTGATACAGGTTTTCGCCCATTCCCAGTGACACTGAAGAAACTCACGGTTCTCGATGAACACAAACTCCGTTTTATTTCAACGGAACGGTTTACAAACACTTGTTACATCAGCGACATCTTGAACATTCTAGAAAAACCTACCAACGAGGCTCGAACAGTATCATGGGTAATGGAAGAGTATGGAGAATTTATCTTACAAATCAGAGTGAAATCATCGCGAATGACAATAACTGTAGAATAGCTGGTGCATAAATTTTGTAATAAACGATTTCCCGATATCAGAGTGTATACACAAATAAATCACGAATCTTGTACAATGATATATCCTGAATGTTTGTTGTTCGATAATAATAATTCAGTCACGATGTTCATAACAACTCTCATAATGCGCTCTGAAAACCCGAAAGTTCTAACTAAGAATTATTTCTCATATTTGAACTTCGCTAATGTTCATAACAATAATTGAGACTCTAATATAATAACTAGACTTTTGGAACAAATGTCAACATAAAAATCGATAAATAAGAAGTTTGTTCTCGGCTCCTGGTGAACGTGACCCCAGGTCATCAGTGTTACTAAAATAGCCACTTAAATTAGCAGCACTACATAGCAGGTTTTCCACACCCTCCCCCTATTAAAGTTACCTTAACTTTAATATCATGGTTTTCTAATCGTCCTCAATCTCGTTCGCAATGACACCAACTAAGCGGTTCACTGCAGCAGTCTTTGCCTTTCGACTTGGACGACTCACATTCTGGTTCTTGAGGGTCCCAACTGGTTCTTCTGATTTAATATCATCACCCACTGGAGTTTCATCATTTGTATTGCTGATTTCTAGGTCACAAACCAATTGGAGTGGCCTTTCAACGATGTAGCCACTGCCTGTCTTGATTTTGTATCCTCTGATCACTCCGTCCTTACCAACAATGGTATCTACAATGCGTCCTATCTTCCAATTTGCTCGGTACTTTGTTGAGTCCTTCAGTAGAATGACAGAGTTCTTTCCTGGCAATTCATGCTTTTTGGTTTCTAACCCCTTGGTATTACGCTCCTGTAATGCATGTAAATATTCATTCAACCAACGTTTACGTACATGTTCTCTACAGGTCTTAAGGTATTTTAGACGTTTGCCTATGTCGTCATCTAAGTCATGAACATTGTCCTCTAGGTAACGTGCTGGCTGTCCGCGTAACAACATATTTGGAGTGATAACTACTTGTTCTAAGTCTTCCTCCATGTAGCACAATGGTCTGTTGTTCATGAAAACTTCTACATCCAGCAGTACTTCCTCAAGTTCTTCGAACGTCAGCAGCGCTCGTCCTATAGTTTTGGATAGGGCTCTTTTTGTGATGCCAATGAGTCTCTCAAAGAAACCACCCCACCATGGAGAGCATGACAGGTTAAATCTCCACTCAATGCCCTTTGTTGTGAGGTAGTTGAATATATCTTCATCATTCTGAAGCTTAGTTAGCCACATCTTGGTCGCAACAAATGTCTTGGCATTGTCACTCACCATACAACTTGGTGATCCTCTCCGTGCAACAAACTCCTTCAGTCCACGTTTGAATTCTATCGTTGACATATCTCTGCACAGCTTTAAGTGTACAGCTCTGGTAGTTGCACATGTAAAGGGAGCGATGTAAGACTTATTCGTTTCACTCTTGCCTAATTTGTAGTGAAGTGGTCCTGCAAAGTCCACACCTGTCACATCGAAGGGCTCAGTAAATTCCGTTCGGAAGGCAGGCAGAACTGATGTCACAGGTGCATCCAACATTTTTGCACGGTACTTTTTACAATGGTTGCAATTGTGTAGTATTGATTTGACTAGGGATCTCAGTTTTAGAATCCAGTATTTCTCTCTCACCTTACTCATTGTTGTGGCTACTCCCCCGTGTAATGTTAGAATATGGCAATGCTCAATTATCCGTCTCGCTAAGGCTGTCTTTTGTGGAATGTAGATTGGATTGTAGCCTTGGATTCTACTGCTGCATCTCTGTATCCCGTCATGATCTACTGATATTGCAATGTCGACTGTCATTCTGTTTGTTTGTTGTGTCATTTTAATCCATACTGTTTCCGCTGCTGACATCTCAGATTTAGTGAGAGGCCCAATCCGTCTCATCCCTCTACAGCTGTCTGCAAAACGCTTTATGTGTGCCGTTATGCGCAAAAGCTTCCAGAAGGGAAATCGGCTCAGGAGGTCTTGTACCCATTTATTCAAGTCGTTCTCATCTTCTGTCAGGAGCATAGCTTTATTGTACTTTGTTGACCTCTTTTCTGTTTTCGTGCCTGCTGACTCAGAAATCTCTGGTTGAACTGGTCTGTCTATCTCACTTGAAAGCCACTTTGGCCCATTGAACCAAAGTGTACCAAGATGGTCTGGCGTTGTGCCTCTGGTCCCTAAGTCGCTTGGGTTTTCTGTTGTCGGTACATATCTCCACTGAGCATCTGTAAGCTCTCCGATCTTTCTTACTCGATTGCGAACGAATGTTGACCATTCACCGTGGTTTTGAAGCCAATACAAAACTGTTGTGCTGTCTACCCAACTATTCCAGGCTGTGATGGGAAATGCAGCTAGTGCCTTTGAAACATTATTCTGCAATTTTGCTAAAGTATGAGCAGCTGCCAATCCCAATCTTGGGATGCTCCTGTCTTTTGGTGCGATTCTGGACTTGGCAACTAGCAACTGCTGACTGACTGGTTTTGAGTCTCGGCATGCCACAACATAGACTGCAGCACAGAGAGCTACTTTGCTGGCGTCTGCAAATCCATGAATCTCAAAACTTGTGGGTGTGTCGGTAAACACACAGCGTGGTATGGTTATGGTTGGTGCTAGTTGCAAGCTCTTTATCCACATCCACCATTTTTTGTGAATTCCCTCTGGCACCCTTTCATCCCAATGTAACTGAAGGAGACAAACTTCACTGAAGATCAATTTTGCAGTGATAGTTACTGGTGAACTCCACCCAAGTATGTCATAAATGCTGTTAATATCCGATATCATTTTCCGTTTAGTAGTTGGTTCACTGCCTTTTAAGCCTGGCTCAAAGTCAAGAATCAGTGTGTCTTCCATCTTGTTCCATGGGATACCGAGAATCTTTGTGTCACTGGTTGATGTGTTATCAGTCCCTTCATGTTTTATGTTGTTTTTGGAGCTAAGATGGGTGATGTTGCTGTGCCATTTGTGAAGTGAAAACCCACCTTCTGATAGTATTTTGGTAGATTCTTCTTTGAATACTGCAACATCACGTTCTGTCTCTCCTCCTTGAATATCGTCAACATATGTATCATCCAATAGGGTTTGGACTGTTATTGGATAGTTTTCCCTATAGTTTTCAATGTGTTTTTGCAGTGTTACTCCTAGGATATATGGACTTGAAGTTGCTCCAAAGATCACCCGTGTAAAACGGTACTCCATCAGTTGACGATCTTGTAGATTGTTGTACCACAAAATTCTCATTGCATCTCTGTCTTGTTCGTGTACTCGAATTTGAAGAAAAGCCTTCTGGATGTCTCCTCTGATGCAATATTTTCGCATGCGGTTCCTTATCATAATGTCAAACAGTAGTGGCTGTAGTGAGGGGCCTGTCTCTAAGCAGTCATTGAGTGAGGGGCTTTTTGTGTTGGCTTTTGCTGAGCAGTCGTACACTATCCTCATCTTTGTTGTTTCTGCTTTCTCTCTGATAACAGCCTGATGTGGCACATAATGAATGACCTCCCCTGTTTGATGAAATGGTGCAGGCTCAATAATTCTCTCATTTATTTGTTCTCTCATAATGTCATTGTACTCCTCTAATTTCCCCATTCTCTCTAGTTTCTTTGATGTGCTGTACAGTCGAGCTGTGCATAAGCCTTTGTTTGTAGGAAGAGGAATGTGATCTTCCTTCCATAGCAGTTTGGTTTCGTAGTATCCCTGTTCTGTCATACTCAACTGTTGTCTAAATTCTTCATGAATCATTGAAGTTACTTTGCTACCCACATCCCTAATTCCCAAAACATCCAGTGAGCACAGCTTCTCAAATTCTTCATATCCGGTTTTCATGAAGAACTGCTTCTCTGTTTGACTTTCTGTTGATGACTGTTTTCCTGAAATTGTCCAACCCAACATAGTGAACTCAGCACCTGGATCCTTGTCTGGATTTATGCCCAACACCAGCGGTTCTGTTGTTCGAATCCTCTGGTAGTCGGCTGCTCCCAAGATGATGTGAATAGCAAGTAGATTCTCAGTCGTTTCTTCCTCACTAAACTGCAGTCTGCGAAACCGAACATGTCGTTTCTTCAGTGATTTGATGTTTGGGTTTGGTAAGTGGGTTAAAACACCCTTTTCTGCATTTACACAGGTGACATCAAATGAAAACCCACCTACTGCTAGTGATTCTATTGTAATAGTGTACAGTTCGACAGTTTTCCTGACAGTGCCATACATCTGTTCTATACAGCGTTGTTCTCTCTTTATAGGTTTCAAGTGCAATTGTGTTATCAAGTCAGTACACACGTATGAACTACCAGCACCTGTGTCAAACATGATTCGAACTGTCTCTGTTCCAACTTTGCTCAGGACTGTAGCATGAATCGCACTTGTATGCTGTGTAGTGATACTCAGTCCCTTTTCTACTTTTGCACTCTCTGAAACGTTAAGTGTAGATTTTGCCCTGTCACAAATTGATGTGTGGTGCTTTCCTTTGCAATTTCTGCATCCCCTTGATCTGCAGTCAATCGCAAAATGTCCAACTCCTGTGCAGTTGAAACACATTCGATTTCTACGGAGTATGGCTCTCCCTGTGGCCAAATCGAGCACTTTGACACAACTATAACTGGAGTGATCTTCAGAACGGCAATACACACACTTAATTTTACGATTCGATGTGTGATCTCCATTACTCCCAAGCAGCAATTTTTCATCTTTTCTTTTCTTATCATCTCTCCATTTTGTAGTATTATTCTCCTCAGTAACTCTCTGTGGATTTCTTTCCACATATTTCCGCAGACTCTCAACAAGCTCTTCTAGACCCCATTCTTCCCAGTTGTCATCCTTTTGTACAAGCACTTCACGTACAGGACCTAGTTTGTCCATTAATGTATATACTGAACTTTGTGCTGTAGTCAGTTTATTCATTGTTTTGAGTGTACGCACAATTCTTGATAGCCTGTTATAAAAGTCATGTACTTCATTCAATTTGTGGATGTTAGTAACAGTTGGAATTTCCTCAAGGCCTTTTATCAGTGATTTGTGTACTTTAATATCTTTACCGTATGTTTGTAGAAGTATTTTCTTAGCTTCCTGATAACCTGCAGCAGTGTGAGGCAGTCCCAAGATGTCCTCTCTTGGTTTGTCTTTCACCAATTCAATTAGATAATTAAATTTACTGACTTCAGCAATATTGGACCCATCCACCTCCACAGTAAACTGATTCCAAAAGCGTAACCAGTCTTTGTAATCACCAGAGAAGGGAGTAATAGTGTACTTTTGTAGTTTCACTGCTTGTGTAGAGGGCGCTGTTAAAGACTGTCCACTGCTCACCTGTTCAGCATGTCTAGCTTGTATTTGTTTTTCATAATCAAGTTTTCTCAAATACCACTCCTCCTCTTGTTTTTGTTGACGAATAATTATCTCTTCAATTTCTTGTTGTTGTCGTAGTCGGTGTTTGGATTGCTCTTCACTCACCCTTTGCTGGATATGTAGTTCCTTTTCTAGTTTCCCTTGTGTCTCTCGCTCTGTTGCATCATCAACCAATTTTTTGATATGCTGACGAGACTCCCTGATTGGTTGCATGGACGCTTTCTGCGTTGTTGTCCACTGCTTCACATACTCTAATTCTGATTCTTTGTCTAACAGATATTCAGTTGTTTGATCTCTCGAATGCTCCAGCCGTTTCAGTAACTCGCCTACTTGTTCATACGCCATTGTTATATCAGCAGTACATTCACTCTGTGATAATTCAGTAATTTCCTCAAGCTTGAGTTTGGCTATTGTTAGTTGCCTTGCAAATTTCTCTTCCGTAAATGCCATGTTTGGTGTATTTCTGTGTGGCGTAGTATGAACAGTTCACGTATTCTTTAACTTCGCATCAAATGTTTCAGTTCTTTTTATATAAGCTGGCAATAATACTCACTGTTGTATTACACGGTTCTGTATAACACAAACGCTATTGTGCAGTAAGTCCCTTCGTGGTCGCCACCTTTCAGTGTGGGGAACGTTTAATGTTCTGATACAGGTTTTCGCCCATTCCCAGTGACACTGAAGAAACTCACGGTTCTCGATGAACACAAACTCCGTTTTATTTCAACGGAACGGTTTACAAACACTTGTTACACCAGCGACATCTTGAAAATTCTAGAAAAGCCTACCAACGAGGCTCGAACAGTATCATGGGTAATGGAAGAGTATGGAGAATTGATCTTACAAATCAGAGTGAAATCATCGCGAATGACAATAACTGTAGAATAGCTGGTGCATACATTTTGTAATAAACGATTTCCCGATATCAGAGTGTATACACAAATAAATCACGAATCTTGTACAATGATATATCCTGAATGTTTGTTGTTCGATAATAATAATTCAGTCACGATGTTCATAACAACTCTCATAATGCGCTCTGAATACCCGAAAGTTCTAACTAAGAATTATTTCTCATATTTGAACTTCGCTAATGTTCATAACAATAATTGAGACTCTAATATAATAACTAGACTTTTGGAACAAATGTCAACATAAAAATCGATAAATAAGAAGTTTGTTCTCGGCTCCTGGTGAACGTGACCCCAGGTCATCAGTGTTACTAAAATAGCCACTTAAATTAGCAGCACTACATAGCAGGTTTTCCACACCCTCCCCCTATTAAAGTTACCTTAACTTTAATATCATGGTTTTCTAATCGTCCTCAATCTCGTTTGCAATGACACCAACTAAGCGGTTCACTGCAGCAGTCTTTGCCTTTCGACTTGGACGACTCACATTCTGGTTCTTGAGGGTCCCATCTGGTTCTTCTGATTTAATATCATCACCCACTGGAGTTTCATCATTTGTATTGCTGATTTCTAGGTCACAAACCAATTGGAGTGGCCTTTCAACGATGTAGCCACTGCCTGTCTTGATTTTGTATCCTCTGATCACTCCGTCCTTACCAACAATGGTATCTACAATGCGTCCTATCTTCCAATTTGCTCGGTTCTTTGTTGAGTCCTTCAGTAGAATGAGAGAGTTCTTTCCTGGCAATTCATGCTTTTTGGTTTCTAACCCCTTGGTATTACGCTCCTGTAATGCATGTAAATATTCATTCAACCAACGTTTACGTACATGTTCTCTACAGGTCTTAAGGTATTTTAGACGTTTGCCTATGTCGTCATCTAAGTCATGAACATTGTCCTCTAGGTAACGTGCTGGCTTTCCGCGTAACAACATATTTGGAGTGATAACTACTTGTTCTAAGTCTTCCTCCATGTAGCACAATGGTCTGTTGTTCATGAAAACTTCTACATCCAGCAGTACTTCCTCGAGTTCTTCGAACGTCAGCAGCGCTCGTCCTATAGTTTTGGATAGGGCTCTTTTTGTGATGCCAATGAGTCTCTCAAAGAAACCACCCCACCATGGAGAGCGTGACAAGTTAAATCTCCACTCAATGCCCTTTGTTGTGAGGTAGTTGAATATATCTTCATCATTCTGAAGCTTAGTTAGCCACATCTTGGTCGCGACAAATGTCTTGGCATTGTCACTCACCATACAACTTGGTGATCCTCTCCGTGCAACAAACTCCTTCAGTCCACGTTTGAATTCTACCGTTGACATATCTCTGCACAGCTTTAAGTGTACAGCTCTGGTAGTTGCACATGTAAAGAGAGCGATGTAAGACTTATTCGTTTCACTCTTGCCTAATTTGTAGTGAAGTGGTCCTGCAAAGTCCACACCTGTCACATCAAATGGCTCAGTAAATTCAGTTCGGAAGGCAGGCAGAACTGATGTCACCGGTGCATCCAACATTTTTGCACGGTACTTTTTACAATGGTTGCAATTGTGTAGTATTGATTTGACTAGGGATCTCAGTTTTAGAATCCAGTATTTCTCTCTCACCTTACTCATTGTTGTGGCTACTCCCCCGTGTAATGTTAGAATATGGCAATGCTCAATTATCCGTCTCGCTAAGGCTGTCTTTCGTGGAATGTAGATTGGATTGTAACCTTGGATTCTACTGCTGCATCTCTGTATCCCGTCATGATCTACTGATATTGCAATGTCGACTGTCATTCTGTTTGTTTGTTGTGTCATTTTAATCCATACTGTCTCCGCTGCTGACATCTCAGATTTAGTGAGAGGCCCAATCCGTCTCATCCCTCTACAGCTGTCTGCAAAACGCTTTATGTGTGCCGTTATGCGCAAAAGCTTCCAGAAGGGAAATCGGCTCAGGAGGTCTTGTACCCATTTATTCAAGTCGTTCTCATCTTCTGTCAGGAGCATAGCTTTATTGTACTTTGTTGACCTCTTTTCTGTTTTCGTGCCTGCTGACTCAGAAATCTCTGGTTGAACTGGTCTGTCTATCTCACTTGAAAGCCACTTTGGCCCATTGAACCAAAGTGTACCAAGACGGTCTGGCGTTGTGCCTCTGGTCCCTAAGTCGCTTGGGTTTTCTGTTGTCGGTACATATCTCCACTGAGCATCTGTAAGCTCTCCGATCTTTCTTACTCGATTGCGAACGAATGTTGACCATTCACCGTGGTTTTGAAGCCAATACAAAACTGTTGTGCTGTCTACCCAACTATTCCAGGCTGTGATGGGAAATGCAGCTAGTGCCTTTGAAACATTATTCTGCAATTTGGCTAAAGTATGAGCAGCTGCCAATTCCAATCTTGAGATGCTCCTGTCTTTTGGTGCGATTCTGGACTTGGCAACTAGCAACTGCTGACTGACTGGTTTTGAGTCTCGGCATGCCACAACATAGACTGCAGCACAGAGAGCTACTTTGCTGGCGTCTGCAAATCCATGAATCTCAAAACTTGTGGGTGTGTCGGTAAACACACAGCGTGGTATGGTTATGGTTGGTGCTAGTTGCAAGCTCTTTATCCACATCCACCATTTTTTGTGAATTCCCTCTGGCACCCTTTCATCCCAATGTAACTGAAGGAGACAAACTTCACTGAAGATCAATTTTGCAGTGATAGTTACTGGTGAACTCCACCCAAGTATGTCATAAATGCTGTTAATATCCGATATCATTTTCCGTTTAGTAGTTGGTTCACTGCCTTTTAAGCCTGGCTCAAAGTCAAGAATCAGTGTGTCTTCCATCTTGTTCCATGGGATACCGAGAATCTTTGTGTCACTGGTTGATGTGTTATCAGTCCCTTCATGTTTTATGTTGTTTTTGGAGCTAAGATGGGTGATGTTGCTGTGCCATTTGTGAAGTGAAAACCCACCTTCTGATAGTATTTTGGTAGATTCTTCTTTGAATACTGCAACATCATGTTCTGTCTCTCCTCCTCCTTGAATATCGTCAACATATGTATCATCCAATAGGGTTTGGACTGTTATTGGATAGTTCTCCCTATAGTTCTCAATGTGTTTTTGCAGTGTTACTCCTAGGATATATGGACTTGAAGTTGCTCCAAAGATCACCCGTGTAAAACGGTACTCCATCAGTTGACGATCTTGTAGTTTGTTGTACCACAAAATTCTCATTGCATCTCTGTCTTGTTCGTGTACTCGAATTTGATGAAAAGCCTTCTGGATGTCTCCTGTGATGCAATATTTTCGCATGCGGTTCCTTATCATAATGTCAAACAGTAGTGGCTGTAGTGAGGGGCCTGTCTCTAAGCAGTCATTGAGTGAGGGGCTTTTTGTGTTGGCTTTTGCTGAGCAGTCGTACACTATCCTCATCTTTGTTGTTTCTGCTTTCTCTCTGATAACAGCCTGATGTGGCACATAATGAATGACCTCCCCTGTTTGATGAAATGGTGCAGGCTCAATAATTCTCTCATTTATTTGTTCTCTCATAATGTTATTGTACTCCTCTAATTTCCCCATTCTCTCTAGTTTCTTTGATGTGCTGTATAGTCGAGCTGTGCATAAGCCTTTGTTTGTAGGAAGAGGAATGTGATCTTCCTTCCATGGCAGTTTGGTTTCGTAGTATCCCTGTTCTGTCATACTCAACTGTTGTCTAAATTCTTCATGAATCATTGAAGTTTCTTTGCTATCCACATCCCTAATTCCCAAAACATCCAGTGAGCACAGCTTCTCAAATTCTTCATATCCGGTTTTCATGAAGAACTGCTTCTCTGTTTGACTTTCTGTTGATGACTGTTTTCCTGAAATTGTCCAACCCAACATAGTGAACTCAGCACCTGGATCCTTGTCTGGATTTATGCCCAACACCAGCGGTTCTGTTGTTCGAATCCTCTGGTAGTCGGCTGCTCCCAAGATGATGTGAATAGCAAGTAGATTCTCAGTCGTTTCTTCCTCACTAAACTGCAGTCTGCGAAACCGAACATGTCGTTTCTTCAGTGATTTGATGTTTGGGTTTGGTAAGTGGGTTAAAACACCCTTTTCTGCATTTACACAGGTGACATCAAATGAAAACCCACCTACTGCTAGTGATTCTATTGTAATATTGTACAGTTCGACAGTTTTCCTGACAGTGCCATACATCTGTTCTATACAGCGTTGTTCTCTCTTTATAGGTTTCAAGTGCAATTGTGTTATCAAGTCAGTACACACATATGAACTACCAGCACCTGTGTCAAACATGATTCGAACTGTCTCTGTTCCAACTTTGCTCAGGACTGTAGCATGAATCGCACTTGTATGCTGTGTAGTGATACTCAGTCCCTTTTCTACTTTTGCACTCTCTGAAACGTTAAGTGTAGATTTCGCCCTGTCACAAATTGATGTGTGGTGCTTTCCTTTGCAATTTCTGCATCCCCTTGATCTGCAGTCACTCGCAAGATGTCCAACTCCTGTGCAGTTGAAACACATTCGATTTCTACGGAGTATGGCTCTCCTTGTGGCCAAATCGAGCACTTTGACACAACTATAACTGGAGTGATCTTCAGAACGGCAATACACACACTTAATTTTACGATTCGATGTGTGATCTCCATTACTCCCAAGCAGCAATTTTTCATCTTTTCTTTTCTTATCATCTCTCCATTTTGTAGTATTATTCTCCTCAGTAACTCTCTGTGGATTTCTTTCCACATATTTCCGCAGACTCTCAACAAGCTCTTCTAGACCCCATTCTTCCCAGTTGTCATCCTTTTGTACAAGCACTTCACGTACAGGACCTAGTTTGTCCATTAATGTATATACTGAACTTTGTGCTGTAGTCAGTTTATTCATTGTTTTGAGTGTACGCACAATTCTTGATAGCCTGTTATAAAAGTCATGTACTTCATTCAATTTGTGGATGTTAGTAACAGTTGGAATTTCCTCAAGGTCTTTTATCAGTGATTTGTGTACTTTAATATCTTTACCGTATGTTTGTAGAAGTATTTTCTTAGCTTCCTGATATCCTGCAGCAGTGTGAGGCAGTCCCAGGATGTCCTCTCTTGGTTTGTCTTTCACCAATTCAATTAGATAATTAAATTTACTGACTTCAGCAATATTGGACCCATCCACCTCCACAGTAAACTGATTCCAAAAGCGTAACCAGTCTTTGTAATCACCAGAGAAAGGAGTAATAGTGTACTTTTGTAGTTTCACTGCTTGTGTAGAGGGCGCTGTTAAAGACTCCCCACTGCTCACCTGTTCAGCATGTCTAGCTTGTATTTGTTTTTCATAATCAAGTTTTCTCAAATACCACTCCTCCTCTCGTTTTTGTTGACGAATAATTATCTCTTCAATTTCTTGTTGTTGTCGTAGTCGGTGTTTGGATTGCTCTTCACTCACCCTTTGCTGGATATGTAGTTCCTTTTCTAGTTTCCCTTGTGTCTCTCGCTCTGTTGCATCATCAACCAATTTTCTGATATGCTGACGAGCCTCCCTGATTGGTTGCATGGACGCTTTCTGCGTTGTTGTCCACTGCTTCACATACTCTAATTCTGATTCTTTGTCTAACAGATATTCAGTTGTTTGATCTCTCGAATGCTCCAGCCGTTTCAGTAACTCGCCTACTTGTTCATACGCCATTGTTATATCAGCAGTACATTCACTCTGTGATAATTCAGTAATTTCCTCAAGCTTGAGTTTGGCTATTGTTAGTTGTCTTGCAAATTTCTCTTCCGTAAATGCCATGTTTGGTGTATTTCTGTGTGGCGTAGTATGAACAGTTCACGTATTCTTTAACTTCGCATCAAATGTTTCAGTTCTTTTTATATAAGCTGGCAATAATACTCACTGTTGTATTACACGGTTCTGTATAACACAAACGCTATTGTGCAGTAAGTCCCTTCGTGGTCGCCACCTTTCAGTGTGGGGAACGTTTAATGTTCTGATACAGGTTTTCGCCCATTCCCAGTGACACTGAAGAAACTCACGGTTCTCGATGAACACAAACTCCGTTTTATTTCAACGGAACGGTTTACAAACACTTGTTACACCAGCGACATCTTGAACATTCTAGAAAAACCTACCAACGAGGCTCGAACAGTATCATGGGTAATGGAAGAGTATGGAGAATTTATCTTACAAATCAGAGTGAAATCATCGCGAATGACAATAACTGTAGAATAGCTGGTGCATAAATTTTGTAATAAACGATTTCCCGATATCAGAGTGTATACACAAATAAATCACGAATCTTGTACAATGATATATCCTGAATGTTTGTTGTTCGATAATAATAATTCAGTCACGATGTTCATAACAACTCTCGTAATGCGCTCTGAAAACCCGAAAGTTCTAACTAAGAATTATTTCTCATATTTGAACTTCGCTAATGTTCATAACAATAATTGAGACTCTAATATAATAACTAGACTTTTGGAACAAATGTCAACATAAAAATCGATAAATAAGAAGTTTGTTCTCGGCTCCTGGTGAACGTGACCCCAGGTCATCAGTGTTACTAAAATAGCCACTTAAATTAGCAGCACTACATAGCAGGTTTTCCACAGGGTTTTGTGACGTTTTCGAATAAATCA